GTTCATAATTGAATTTTACCATTTATTTAATACTTTAAATAATTTGCATGATCTGTGCATATCTTTGTATTTATGCTAAATTACTCTATCCTTTACAAAAAATACTGCTTTAAAAAAAAAGAAATCATTTCTCAGATGGCAGCTACCAGAAAAGGTGCAGCGTGCAAGGAATACTGTTGGTCTCTGTCAGGCATTTAACAACAAATGGGATGAAGACTAAAGTTTTGGTACACAAGGTGTTCCACTTGCTGCTAGTGGCTATGCCATACTGTGACAGGCAGCTGGGTGGACTGGGGAGGAGGTTTCTCCTGTCACTCAATTCAGAGCCGGCGTGGGCAGCCCTCCCTGCTGCCCTGTGTGAAGGAGTCTCCTGGTGACGGTGGCTGCTGAGGCGGTCTGAGCACCCAAGGAGCAATGCTGGCACACCCCTGCTTCCAGCTCCCTGGTCCTCCCTGCTCCTGACACTTGCAGGGAGATTCCTGGGAGGTTTTTCTGCTTCAGCCTCTTAAAGCCTGACAGCCTGTGCCCACATCTTCCCAGTCCCCAGGGGCCTCTGCTCTGCTTCAGGCTAGGTAGTGGACAGTAATTGCCCAGCCCAGTAAGAAGCGCGTTCGCCCTCACTGTCCTCCTTCCCTGCAGCACAGGCATCCACACCCAGCCAGCCAGAGGCACCGTTTCCCTGGCCTGGGCCACCACTTCACGCTTGCTGCAGACCTCACTTGCTTTCTTCAAATACCATCCTTTCGTTGAGTCCTTTCCTTCACCCTAGACTAGAACATATCGACAGAAGGGTCTTTCTTCTTCCCTTTTGTCTTGGTGGTGACTGTCTCTTGTTATCAGGTCTCAGCAACACAGAGGAGGCAGTCTAAGATCTGAAATGGGCTGGTGCCCAACCAGTTGCCACAGCTCGTTGCGCCTCCCTGTTATTTTGATGCCCAAGGTCTTGTAGCATGGGCCCTGTCTGGCTGCAGGGCTAGAACCTGGAGGGATGCTGCCTGGCTGATTTGGCTACACTAACCAATTTGGTTTTGGTGGGGCACCATTCCCATGGGGCAGGAGGGCTGACTGGGTCCTAGCTTGCTCTGGTCCTTAGGCTCACAGGACACTCGTTTTCTCGAAGACAATAATGCTACTATTGAATGGATAGAAAGGTGGGAAGAGAAAAGATAAATAGAAAATGGAATAGAAGCAGAAACACGTGCATTAGTTAGCCTTTTCAATGCACAATAAAAAGCATTTATATGAGATTAAATTCAAGCCTCGTGTACGTGAAAGAAGGATGCTGTACTTGCTTTCTGTAAGAGGCTGAATTTTATCTAAGCAGCTTTGTATTTTCCAAAAAAAATAAATAAGATTGTACAAATGTTGATATCTCTAAACCTACCTCTACTACAATTTCTTGCAATAATCTGATGGCTCCTTCTTACACGCCGAGCACTTTGCTTGCATTTTGAAATCACCAGTTGTTGACTTGCTTCCTTTCTACGGTTGTTTTGTTTTATTGCTTTGCCCTTCAACTGCCCTTCCCTAGCACTTTTTATGGTATTTAATCCAATACAGAGAGCTTCAACACTGTTTGGTATTCCTCCTTGTAAAAATAGAGTACAAAACAAGGCACATTAAAATATTAATAATTTGTTGTCACATTTTTTAAAGATTGTGCTTGTGAGCATAAAAACAGGCACCGGCATGAATGTGAAGGGGGTAAAAATGAAAAAGATAAAACAACTACAGTTTATCATGTTGAAACAAATATTTCTTTACTATGTGTATGGTGAAATACGTTCACATAGACTTAATAATTTCTTTGTAAGAATTTGGGAAATCTCTCCACCTGTCTTTGCTCCTTAGTCTAAATCCTCATACGTTTTCGAGCCTTTCATCACTCCCAACCACTTACTCCCCTCCTAATCTTTATCTATTTTTATATTTTTCGTGTACTATCTACCAGAGATCTTGTGCTAGCTTCCCTCTTCTATTTAGTATTTTATAAATCATTATACAGATTCAAAGGAAAAAGCAGTCTTTTTTCCCTTATGCCCTTAGGTTGGATCATCATCTTCCTCAGATTGGAAGAAGATGACACTGATTGACAGACACTCACAACCTAGCTGTATTTAATCTCCTCCTTTCTGTCACCCCATTTCATTCAGAAAAGAAAAAAGGGATATTGAAATGCTGTTTAACCTTATTATCACAGCTAGATGAAGCAGTCCCTCCCTTGTTTCCCTGTTGCTAATCCAGACAGTGTCTCTTTGGTACCTTTTACTTTTGCATGCATCAATGTGCATCCCTATACACATGTAATTTCACACTGAGTTTTCTGTACTCTTATGATGCAGAGGTCAGTGTGTGACAAACCATTCTTGAAAAAGTGATAGAAGAGTAAAGGCTCAGATAAGTTTTTAATCTAGAAAGGGAAGAGACAGAGAAGAGGTATAATTAATTTTATGTACATAAATGTAGTTGCAATGTGGGATGAAGGAGACCTTTTCCTTGATCGTGGTGAACAGCAGAAGAAATAGTGAGTTTAACTTTGCAGTAATGGAGCTTAGAAATACCCTTTTTGTAGTTACAGTAGTAAGGCGCTGGAATAAATTGCCTTTTAAAAGCATGGAGTCTCCAGAAAAGACACTTGTAAGCACTGGATAGAAAGCCATTTCCCAGGACTTCCCAAGAGATAAAGGGAGAATCAGTGATACCAAATGAATTACATAAATTGGTGACCACACAAACCAAAACCAGTCTATGTTTGTTATGCGTGGGTTTAGTGTGTTTTAGTGTGTTTAACCTATGTGTATTTTGTTAGAAGACCTCAGGAGACATATTTTCATGCAGTAGGTAAACTACAGGGTCTCTTCCTTGGAAACATCCTGCTGTATTCTGTTGTTAGTAGGAGGTTAAATGACTTTTATTTACTAAATCAATACTGGAGTTCCTCTATCTCTCTGTATGCTGTACTTGGTGGATTAGGAATACCAGCATATACTCATATCAGTAGACATAATGGAAGAACTGAATATGTTCTGCTATCTGTTTCATACAGCAGCTCTGCTAACCTGATCTAATGGTCCTTCGTGAGCTTTGAATATATGTGAAGCATTTGGCTTTGCTAGAAAATTAAGCTAAACTGTGGATCTTTGTTTATACAGCATGAAAACAGAGTGTGGTGGGGCTAAGCTACTGTCAGAAAAGTTACTTTTTTGCTTAAGATAAACCGTCCCCTTTTCACGAAGACCCTGCGTTTGCCATATGGATAGCACAGACGAGCTATAGATTGGAGTTTTTTCAAGGGGAGAATTAGATAATTTTGTTTGTTTATGTGACTGTAAGTGAAGGCAGTTCTCAGGGCCTTGCCCTTTAGCTTGTCCTACCACCATAACAGAAATAAAGAGCTGATCTAACTCAGGCCTTTGACAGTAATCGTGTGTGAGCAGTTTGGCCAAGATCTGATACTGCACTTACTGCCAGGTCACCGGGAGAGAAATCTGGAGGTCTCTTCATTTCTTACATCTTACCTGTGCAACAGAAAGACAGCTTAGTCAGCGTTGAACAAATGCCATGATCTGACTAAGGATTTATCCAAAATGAGAGCACAGGAGAAATGTCTTTGTTTTGGACACTGTGGTGTTTTGGAGATTTTTTTGAGGCTCTAAAGCCACAGAAGTCAGTGGAAGCCCTGCTCCAAACTGCAGCGGCCAGGCCCTGTTCAGGGTCCATCCACGTGGCATCAGCCTTGCAGAAACCCTCAGTGTCGTGCCCATCGGGCCCTTAGTCGAGGGGCTCTAGGAGGAGCCGCTTGGAGCTAGCTCCAGTTATCCCATTGCTTTTATGGGCCAAAACGAAACGGCCTCTCCTATGAGGAACTTCAACAACCTTGTTTAAAGCAGCGACACGGGTATGTCAGAGAGCTCCATTTTGCAGTCTGAAGACATCCAGGCCATTCCCCGGGATGGTGGCTTTGGTTTACTGTGCGCCCTTTCAGCCAGGGAAGTGCAACGTGGCAAAGAGGTCGGACGCAAGGAACACATTTACCCCGTTACTGCAGGGACAGAGCTGAGGCGTCCACAGCTTCGGGTGGAAGCTCGCTCCTGAGCCCGCGCGTCGGCATCCCCGGGGGGCTGCTCCTCGTTCTGACGGTGTCTTTGCAGAGGGCCCGGAGAACCAGAGGGTTAACCCAGCTTCGCTTTTCGGGAGGGAACCGCGCCGCCCTACCTCTC